AAACTAATATAATATTATATGTTAATTATAATTAAAAATAAATTTACAAGGACATTTTGGAAAGGATGCATGAGGCTCTAGGGCATGGGGAATTAAAAAAAAAAGAATATATATTAAATAAGTGTCTTTAAACAAAAAAACACATAAAGCAAAGAAGGTTATATATTGATCGGTTGACAAAAATGTTGTGATGAGAGGCTTGTAGGATCCTAACCTTGTGTTTCCCCTAGGAGCAATGGTTCAGTAATCACTAATTTGGTGTTCACAGAGGCTTTTAGAGCATAACTACCTCAAGAAATGAGAATTGACTGTGTATGTGTATATAAAACTTCTAAGGCCCCTATGAGCCATAAGGTCTGTGGTAAGAACCCCTCAGAGATCTTCATGGCATAAAGCATCCTCAGGCAGCCAAGTGGTTTCTGCTATGTGAACACCTGGTCTTAAATTCTAGCAATGCTAGGAATAATTACAGATTTCCCAGAGGGAGCGACCTTTCAGCTTTTGGATGCTAAACGTGCTGCCTCTGTAGGGACTGAGTCCCCGGTGTCTGGCGGAAGGGACATGTTCAAATTGAGGCTAACAAGCACAAGGATATATCAAGAGATATATCCCCAGGAGGAAGACTGAACAAAATGGACCTACAGTTAACAGCTGATGTTCATTATATCAAAAGACCTTATAGAAATTGTACATTTACACCCACCACGCCACCCCACATAAAAATCAGCATAGGTTGAGGGGGCAACCAAAATGGCGTAGATGATAGAGGCTCTGTTCATTACTCTGGTGACCAAATCAAAGTTGTGACAGAAACAAGGAGCAGCAGCAAGGAAAAAATCTCCTGGGATCTAGATGAACAAGCCATACAACTAGGGAGAAATCCAAGAAATCACCCTGCAACGGCAGAAGGTAGGACAGGGCAAGGACACAGGTCTGCCCTGTTTCAAGAGGCTTAGTGAGACGGAGGCTGCGGCAGCGGCAGCGGCTGACGCCTATTAAAGGCGAGACATGCTCTGTACAGAAGTATTGGCAGTATCCATTGATCCCTGCTGAGCCCTCCCCATACCAGTGAGGTATACACAGCACTGCCATAGCTGTGATGTCATCAAACTGGATAACAGAGGTCACTCCATCTAGAGGATTCCCTGAAACCCTGCCTCCCCCAGTTCGCCCACCCCCCCACAAGCCACATCCAGGTATATCCTCAGTGAGTCAGGTGCTCCTTGCTGAGCAGCGCCTAGACTCGCACTGGAGACAGCTGGCCTCAGTTTCTGGTGTGGCCTTTTGAGGCAACTGTAAGCACAGCATCTGTGGATTGCTTGCTGAATCTTAATGGGTGGCCCTGGAGGGGTAGAGGCTTGGGCTAAATTTGGCCTGTAGCTGAACCCCTCTCAGGACTATGCCACTGGACACCTACTTCACAAATCCATACTAATAAGACCGGGAAACATAGGAGCTTTGCTTAGTACAAAGACACAGAAAGGCAGCCAAAATGGAAAGACAAAGAAGCAGAAACCATATGAGAGAACAGAACAGAAATCCAGGAATAATGGAGTCAAGCAATCTAACAGATGCAGAGTTCAAAACACAGTTATAAATATGCTCAGTGAATTTATGGGAAGTGTAGAAGAACTCAGAACTTTAACAAAGAGATAAACATAAAAATGGAAATTATAAAAGGGAACCAATCAGAAATAAAGAACACATTATCTGAGATGAAAAGTACATTAAATGGAATAAACAGAATGAAAAAAAAAAAAAAAGAGGATCGAACTACCGAAATAGAGGATGGGAAAGCCGAGGACACTCGATCACATGGCAAAAAAAAAGCCAAGAATATAATAATAATTTAAGGATTTTCTGGGACAAAATCAAGTGTAAAAACATCTATGTAATAAGGGTACCTGAAGGAGAAGAGGGAGAACAAGAAGTTGAAAAGCTATTTGAAGAAATAATGATGGAAAACTTACCTAACCTGGTGAAGGAAATAGACATATACAACCCAGGAAGCTCAGAGAGGCCCAAAAAAGATGAACCCAAAGAAGCCCATACCAAGATACATCATCATCAAAATGCCAAAAGTTAAGCACAAAGAGAGAACCTTAAAAGCAGCAAGATAAAAGCAATTAGTTACCTACAAGAGAGCTCCCATAAGACTGACAGCGGATTTCTCCAAAAAAAAAACTTCAGGACAGAAGGGCATGGGAACCAAGAATACTTTATCCAGCAAAATTATCATTTAGAGTTGAAGGACAAATAAAGAGCTTCCCAAACAAAAATGAGCTAAAGGAATTTATCACCACCAAGTCAGTATTACAGGAAATGTTGGAGGGACTTCTTTAAGAAGAAAAAACATGTATCAAAAATAGGAATAAAGAATGGTAGCAACTACCTTCCTATCAATAAGTACCTTAAATGGAAAAGAATTAAGTTCTCCAACCAAAAGATAGAGTGGCTGAAGGGATAAGAAAACATGACCTCTGAATATGAAAAGGAAGAGGATGGAAGAAGATATTGCTTTGATGGGCCTAGAATATATTTATGTCAGACAGAAAAAGATCAACACTATATGATTTCACTTGTATGCGGAATCTAAAGAATAAAAAGAATGAACTGATCAAAACCAGACTCACAAATATAGTGGACAATTTGGTGATGGACAGAGGGGAGGGGGTTTTGGGGAGGTGGGAGAATGAGATGAAGAGTTAAAGAAGTACAAATTAGTAGCTGATGGATAGTCATGGAGATGGGGAGCACGGCATAGAGAATGCAATTAGCATGAATATGTTGGCTAGGTGGAGGGTTAGAGGAGGGAGAGAGCGAATGAGGGGATTGTTTTACATACTGCGTAGATGTCTAACCAATGTATTGTATACTTGAAACTAATTAAAATAAATAAATTTAAAAAATTAGCATAGGTCAAAACATTCATATTCCAGACCCCACTCCATTGAATCAGAGCCTCTGGGAGTAGAGCTCAGACATCAATGTTTAGAAAAGTTCTTCCAGGTTATTCTGAGAAGACCCCACTGGGCAAGTAAAGATTTAGTAAAATCTCTAGCCGAGATTTTCCTGCCTATCCCTAGCACCTGGCACAAGGCAGGGCATTGAAGAGGCTTTTATTAAGTACAGAACTGTTTCTTGAAACTCTAATTGGCTGATAAAAACAGTAATGTGATTGGTAAATATGGTATGGTTACCGGCTCAATAGAACAAAAATCCCAGGTTTATTATGTAACAAATGCTGAGAGTTCACTGGATATTGGTTTCAAAATAGGAGTCCATAGACAGATGGAGAGAGTATAATAAGATAATAAAAGTTGCTGTTAATGCTGAAAAGACTGGGAAAGAACATTTCCCTTTTCAATGTGGAGAACTAGGTAATCCAAAAATTCTCCTGCCATGAAACCTGGAAATTCTGGATAAAATATAACAAATGTAATTGCATGCAGAATGGAGTAGAGAAGTTTTTTTCTTTTAATTTTATACGTATCTGCACCATTTGAATGTTTTGACCTTGTGTATATATTATTTTTATTTTTTACTGTATCATGTCTTTATTTTTTGTCATTGTTTTGTTTTCATTTTACTTTTTTTTGAGTAGGCAATATTCAACATTGAATCAAGATTCAAAAAGTACGAAAAGTCAGACTGTAAAAATTCTCCTTGCCACCCTTATTCCCAGCTTCCCTGTTTCTTTCTCCTATTTTCCAGAAATATTTTATGAAATATCAACCAAAGAAATAAATGCACACTTAGGTAGTGCTATCTTCCTTCATAACACAAAATTTAGCTTTCTTTACACACTATTCTGCATCTTGATTTTTTTAGTATAACAATAGATTGTGAAGATGATATATGCATAAATAGCTTTCTGTTTTCTTCATAGCTGCATAGTATTCAATTTATGGATGTACCACAATTTATTTAACCAATCTCTTATTGATGGATATTGACTATTTTGTCTTTTGCTATTATAAGCAATGCCGCAATGAATAACCTTGTACATGTGTCATTTCACATCTGTTATTTTAAAAACCAGGCACCAGATTTCCTCTTAGGAAAAGAACTTCCTTTGTTTGATGTATTAGTTTACCAGTGCTCTCAGAACAAAGTACCACATACTGGATTGCTTAAACAACAGAAATTTATTTTTTGTAGCTCTGGAGGTTAGATCAAGGTATTGACAGGGTTAGTTTTGTTCAAGGCCTTTCTCTTTGGCTTGTAGATGGCTATCTTCTTCTTTTGTCTTCACGTGGTTTATCCTCAGTATCCATATGTGTCCAATTTTCTCATACGGACATCAGTCACATTGGATTTGGGCCCACTCTAATAACTTCATTTTAACTTAATTACCTCTTTAGTGACCCTCTCTCCAAATACAGTTACATTCTGAGGGGTAACTTCAACTCATGAATTTTAGGGGGACACAATTTAGTCTAAAACAGTTACCGATAACCTCTTTAATGCTAAGACTCTGGAGAGTGACTCCTCTGAGCACGCTGGCATAAATAAACCTCCTTTGATTCTTAGTTCGGTGAGTGCCTCTTGGTTCTTCTGGGTACACCGGCCAAAAATCCACAACAGTTGGAGGTCAGGATTATTAGTGGCTTTGGGATCTTCAACAAGTGGAAGGTAGGGGAAGGGAGAGTGTTCACTGAACACTTTGAAGATCAGTCTAGAATGATCTATTCAGGGCCACTGATGACCTATACAAAGCAGTCTGGGTGGACACTGGGGGCAGACTAAGGATTCACATTCACAAACATTTTTGCATTCCAATTATTGAGTATAAAATTGAGATGAGTTGAGGTGCATATGTGAAGTGAGGCAGTTATGTCCATGAATAGACAAAGCCAGAATGAAATGAAATTATATTTTTAAAATGAGATAATATCCAGCGTATCATAGGAAAAGCTACGTAACACTCCCCGCCCCCAAGGGTGCGCGCGCCGCCACCAGCGTCACTGTCGCCCCACCTCCCTCCGCTGGAGCGTGCCCCGCCTTCTCATAGCCTCCGGGTTGGGCGAGCTTGGATTCATTTGCTACGTCAGTCCTGCAGAATCCACCCGTGTTGCGCTGGTGTCCGCTGTGTCCACTTCTACCCTGCCCCCACCACATCTGAGCCATGACTCTTACCGCTGTACAGCCAAGGACCCCGCGACGAGTGTTCGTCGTGGGAGTTGGGATGACCAAGGTAAACACAGCGACCTAACCCGCAAGGCGGGCGCTCCTTGCTGCGCTCTGTGCGGGTGAGACCAGGGGAGCCCCAAGGTTACTGCGTGAGGGGTTGAGGGAAGCGGTCATCCTTCCAGCCTTGAGGGCGCCAGGGACTTCCCACGGCCCAGCTCCTGCTTCTGGACCCTTGGGGCATCAGAGTGAAGACTTTGGTGGGTTGTGATGTAGGGTGTTTCAGAGGGAACGTAGTGTCTTGGGATTATTTGGGGGCCATTTCTTTCCTTTTCTTCCTTCCTTTTCCTCCTTGAGTCATAGTTTGAGAAGGACGCCCCAAGATAACCCGAAGTCCACACCTCCTTTTTTAATGAGTGGATCTTCAAACCAGGCAACTGGCCTCACACCCAAAAGAGAATCAGGTTGTGAATGTCGCCAGCTTTGCTCTCTTAGGAATACGGTAGTGCCCCCTTGTCCGTGGTTGCAGTTACCCGTGGTCAACCCAGTTTGAAAACGTTAAATGGGAAACTCCACAAATAAACAATTAATAAGTCTTGAATTGCATGTAATTCTGAGTAGCAAGACGAAATTTCACCATCCCACTCTATTTAGCCTGGGATGTGAATCATTCTTTTATCCATCCTATCCATGCTGTATGCACTCCCCACTACTAGTCACTTAACCATCTGGGTTATGAGAGAGAAGGGGAAGAGGGAGACCACATTTGCATAACTTTTATTCCAGTATATTGTTATAATTATTCTATTTTACTCCTAGTTATTGTTACTATGCCTAATTTATAATTAAACTTTATCATAAGTATGCATGTAGAGGAAAAAAAACAGTATATATAGGGTTAAGGTCTATCTGCAGTTTCAGAGATCCACTGTGGGTCTTGGAATATATCCTCCATGGATAAGGGTATGCAGCATTGTACTGTTGGATCTCTGCTCAGGGACATTTCGAAGTGTGAGTGAGGAAGAGAAACATTAGTGATGTGACTCAGTGTCTTGGCATTAGTGGCAAGTTTTCTGTATCCTCCAATCTCGTTTTTGTTTCTCAAGTGGTACTCTGCTTGCTACTTGAGGAGGCCAGAGGCCTTTTTAACTATAGTATCAATGCAGTCAGGTCCTTTGTTGGCTGTTGAATGTCTGATTATATTGTCTATATAGGAAAGCACAGAGAAAGAGCTTTCTAACTCTTGGGGAAGTAGGAGATGTATCTCTTTACTCAAGTTGGAAGGTGGTGGTGTGGGAAGTATTAGTTACAGTCCTGAAGGAAGAAATTGGGAGTATGAGAGCAGCTTATCAACGCTTATTAGGCCATTGTACTTCCCTCTGAGTTTTATGTTTTGGAACTTTGGTCAGGTTTTGATGAAGAGGAAGTTTACTAGATAGTAGTTTAAGCTCTATTGGTAGATCTCAACTGGTTGGATTCCTGTGTTATGGTTCTTAGTTTGAGTAGCTGAATTATCCAGACAACTCCAAATTCTCTTAATGAGATTCTATCATTAGTGTAGGAAATGAGTTAAAATTCCTGTTGTGGATGTCAACAGGTTTTAACACAAATGACAACTGCCACCTGGCTGACAACAGGCCAAGTACCTTTGCTAATGCTACCTACCTCCTGATATGCCCTCTTTTGATTGATTTAAATCCCACCTGTTTTTAAGAACTGTTTGGGTTGCCATATGACACTATCCTAGACTAGGCGACTTAAACAACAAATATTTCTCACAGTTTGGAGGCTGGTGGGATCAAAGTGTGGGCAGATTTGGTGTCTGGTGAGGTCCTGCTTCCTGGTTCATAGACAGTTGTCCTCTTGCTGTGTCCATGCATGGAAGAAGAAGCAAGGGAGCTCTCTGGGGTCTCTTTTTATAAGGGCAGAAATCCCATTCATGAGGGCTTCATCCTTATAACTCTCCCAAAGGTCCTACCTCCAAATACTATCACATTGGGGATTAGATTTCAATATGTGAATTTTGGGAGGACACAGACATTCAGTCTATAACAGAGTCCAAGTCCTGTATTTTCTTAAGACTTCCTCAGATTGCTCTAAGTTACACTGGTCATTTTTTTTTTGAAATTCTGGTGCCCTTGTAGTCAGGACCATATAATTAAGTACTTAATTTTTCTAATACTTTTATGTGTGGTAATCCCATGACTCATAAAGAAAAACATTTTATATCACAACCCTGTACACACACACACATACACACAACTGAAACAAAATTTGCTAAAGCAACACTTATCTTTATTACATGTGAACTCTTGATATTTCTTATTCTATTTTATTTTTAAAAATGCTGGTCGCAACCCTTAAAATTGATTTTATCACTCTCTGCAAACCTACAGTTTGAAAAATATTACATTATCTCATATAATCCTCACCAGGTAATGGATTATTATCCCCATTTTAGTGTCCATCTCTCAGGCTCAGTGGACTAAGTAACTTATATGTCTTGATATGATTTTGGAGAGGATTACTTAAAATCTCACGTTCCTTCCTTGCTATCTCTACCACGCATTACTGTTATAGTTAATTCATCCTTTAAGCATATATTCAATAAACATACTATTATATGCTAGGGATACAAAGGTGAAAAAAGCAAAGTTCCTATTTTTAAGGATTGTATACTATGGAGGAGAAAAGGATAAACGAGTAACTTAAGTACAATGTATTGGGACATTGGGTTAAACATGGCAGATTCATAATATGAGTTTATTGGTGCTTTCCAGCTCCCACTAAAATGACAGTAAGGAAATAAAGAATGTATTAACCTGCAAGGGCAAAATGAATAGGAGAGGAAACAATAGCAGAGAGAAGTCAGAAAAATACTGGATGATTAAGAGCTGATGGAGAAGTAGTCACTAACTCAGAACAGAGGACCCCACAACCTAAGTTCCTAAGGGGTGGGTGTTATACTGGCTGAGTGTCTCTGCAGAACTCCAGAAAGCTCAGGACTTGCATGTAGTAGGTGGCAAGTAAAGTGGGGATGAGAGGAGAAAAGGAAAAGACTCCTATAGAGTAATTAGATCCCAAGATTCCTTTTACCACCCTTCCTTATCAGGGTGTTGGAGGCTTGTTCTCTGGAGAAATTAAACAGATGAGTCTCTAAAATCATCTGGGCCATTAGACATAGCGGAAGGCAGAAGTGAGGCCCAAGTTGAAAGGAGGGAGTTAAATTCTGCATATTAAAAATGGTACTTCCCAGTCTTGTTCCCAGGACTCTGGCAAGCAGATGTATACCAGCTTCCTGGCAGAGGTATGGAAAATTATTTCAAATGGCTTCAGAGAAAAGCCAGATTGCCATTCCATTCAAAGTGCAAGATTTTAATGGATTTTAATATACTAGAGTATGAAAAACTCATTGATATGGTTTTAAATTCTACATTACAACTAACCTGTAAGAAACTCACTTGTCAAGTTTTAGTGTAGTATTAAAAGGGAATATCCACAATTAACTTAAAAGGCTATTAAAATACTCTTCCTTTTTCCAAGTACATATCTGTGGGGTTGGATTTACTTCACAGATTTCAGCCAAAGCACTGAAATGCCAAAGATTGAGGAATCAGGTATGAGAATTCAGCTGCTCCTATTAAACCAGACATTAAAGAGAAGTACAGAAATGTAAAACAATACCGCTCATTACTTTGTTTTGGAAAATATAATATTTTTATAAAAATTATGTTAACATAGTAAGTTTATTTTTTGATATAAATGAAAGACATTTTTGAATTTCCTCAGTTTTAAGTGCTAAAATAGTAAATAACGGTAAATATAATCCTCATATTCAAAAGTTCTTTAACATCTTCAATGATCTTTAAGAAAGTAAAGGGGTCCTGAGTCCAGGAAGTCTGAGAATTGCTTAAATTAGTCATCGAGCACCAACAGGTGCCAACACCACAAAGGAAGAAACATGCTTTCTGGTGAAAGAATATGCCACCACCTATAGTTCTGTCAAGGGGGTAGAATGAGAGTTTGCAAACTTCTGGATCCAGCTGCCAATTTACAGGAAATACAGGGAACAGAGGAACTTGTTGAACTTGTTTTGCTTCAGTTCAATAGCTAGCTGCCTTTTGGCCCTGTGCATTGAAGTGTGGCATTTAAGTCAAGTGTCTATACAGTGTTTCGAATTAGGTTTTTAGATCCATTCTGGAGCCGCGAGGTCAGTTTAGAAAGTTGCGTCTATCATTAAAAATTTTTTGAAAAATAGAAAATATTGCACCAGAATAGCAAAGATAAGTATTTCATGATATTTTTACTTTAATTATATATGAAGATACAGTTGGCCCTTCATATCTATCAAAAATATTCCCCCAAAATGTTATGTTGTTGCTGACATGTACTATTGTAAATAGGTCTATAATGGTTGTGGTGGATGTGTCTGCTGAACATGTATAGACTTTTTTTCTTTTCATTCCCTAAACAGTACAGCACGACAACTATTTATATAGCATTTGTGTCATATTAGGTATTATAAGTAATCTAGAGATGTAAATTTAAAGTATAGGGGAGGATGTACATAGGTTATATGCAAATACTACACCATTTTATAAAAGTAAGGGACTTGAGCATCTGGGAATTTCTGTATATGGGGCAGGGGTGTCCTGGAACCAATCCCCTGAGGATATGACTGTATTTGTCTGCTGGATTGTGTTGTAACATGTATCTTACTGTGGCTTCAGTCAGAAATTTTTGAAAGCCTTCTTTCTTTAGCACAAACACTGATGAGCAAACCAGTCCACCTTATCTAATCGGTCACCAAGTTTGGTAGATTTTGCTTTATGTTTCTTAAGGCTCTCTACTTCTTTCCATCCTCTTTGTTCCTGCTCTCACTTGGACTAATCATGCCATTTGGTTTCACTGCCTCTAGCTTTGCTCCCTTTATTCCTATTGCCACATTGACCTAAAATTCAAGGCTTCTCATCTCAGTCCCTCTCTTTCTTAAAACAGGGCTTTATTTTTCAAAGCAGTTTTCAGTTCACAGCAAAATTGAACAAAAAGTACAGAGTTCCCACACATGCACAACCTCGCCCACTGTCAGTAATCTGCACCAGAGTGGTACCTTTGTTACAACTGATGAACCTGCATTGACATATCATTGTCATTCAAAGTCCATAGTTTATATCAGGGTTCATTTTTAGCATTGTATATAGTCTATGGATTCGGACAAATGAATAATGACTTGCATGTATTATAGTGTCATACAGCCCTAAAGTTCCTCTGTGCTCTGCCTGGTTATCCCTCCTTCACCTTAACCTCTGCCAGCCCCTGATCTTTTTACCGTCTCCATAGTTTTGTCTTTTCCAGAATGTCATATAGTTGGAATCATACAGTAGGTAGCCTTTCAGATTGGCTTCTTACTTAGTACTATACATTTAAAGTTTCCCATGTCTTTTTGTGCCTTGATAGCTCATATCTTTTTAGCACTGAATGATATTCCATTGTTTGAATGTGCCACAGTTTATATATTCACCTACTAAAGACCTCTTGGTTGCTTCCAAGTTTTGGCAATAATAAAGCTACTATAAATATTCATATGCAGGTTTTTGTGTGGACATAAGTTTTCAGTCAAGTGGGCAAATATCAAGGAGCACAATTGCTAGATTGTATCATAGGAGAATGTTTAGTTTTGTAAGAAACTGCTAATTTATCTTCCAAAGTGGCTGTGTCATTTTGCATTCCCCCCCGTGATGAATGAGAATGCCTGTTGCTCCACATCCTTCTCATCATTTTGTGGTGTTACTGTTTTGATTTTGGCCATTCTAATAGATGAGTAGTAGTATCTCATTGTTTTATCCAATCTCTTTTTTATAAAAAATTTATTGTCTTCAGGATAAAGCCCACACGTTATAGGAGGGCCTATAAGGTCCCTTGTGAGTTGGCTCTAGAGCCAGACTGAAGTTTCAGCTCTGCTAGTTATTAGCTGTGTGTCCTTGGGCTAGTTACTTCATCTTTCTATGCCCTAGTTTTCTTATTGTAACATGGTGATAATAATAGTACCTACATCTTAGCATTGCTGTGAGGATCTAATGAGTTAATACATGTGAAGTGCTTACCACAATATATAACACAGTGAATTCCCAGTAAGTGTTAGTAGTTATCATTTGGTCCTAAGTTAATTTTCTGTCCCTAATACTTGTCACATCCCATCTTGTGCTTCAACCTCTGCAGTATAAAAATTGCTCGCAGTACCTGGGTTGAGCTATATTCTCACTTCTAGGTCTGTGCTCTAGAATTTCCTTTTCCCTCACTTGGCTAACTCCTACTCTTCCTTAAAGACTTAACTTAAATATCAGTTCCTCTGGGAAGCCTTTCTAGTCCTTCCTCTGAGGCTGGGTAGTTGTCTCTCCCTAATCATTCTGTACTGATGACACTGTAGTATAATTTCCTATTTTCCATTAGACTGGAAGCTCCCTGAGGGTAAGGACTATATAATAAATCCAGGAACATGATAAATGCTCAGTATGTTTTCATTTAAACAAATAGATGAATGAATTTCTGCAATGCTCTGTTGTGAGGAAATCTAACTAAACTTGTTTCTATTTATTATCTCCTTCTATATTTCTAGTTCATGAAACCTGGAGCTGAGAATTCACGAGACTACCCTGACTTGGCAAAAGAAGCTGGTAATATAGAACATTTATGTATTTTTTTACTTTTTATTTTTAAATTAAGTTTATAGGAGTAACATTGGTTAATACAATCATATAATTTTCAGGAGTACATTATCATTCGACATCTGTATATTGTATTGTGTGTTCACCACCCAAAGTCCAGTTTCCTTCAGCTACCATATATTTGATCCCCTTTACCTGCTTCACCCTCCTCCTACCCTCCTATATTTGACTCCCTTTACCCCATCTACCTCCCCCTTTTCCCCCCACCCCACTAGTACCCACTACTCTATAGTCCTCTAGTAACCACTAGTCTATAGTCCATGTCCATGAGTCTCTGTTCATCCTGCTCATTTGTTGCTTTTAGGTTTATATTCCACATATAAGTGACATGTGATTTTCAACCTTTTCTGTCTGCCTTATTTCACTTAGCATGATTATCTCGAGGTCCATCCATGTTGTCACAAATGGCAGTATTTCATCTCTTCTTATGATTGAGTAATATTCCATTGTATGTGTGTGCCACAGCTTCTTTAGCCAACCATCTATCGTAGGGTGCTTCGGTTGTTTCCATGACTACTGTGAGTAATGCTGCTATGAACATTGGTGTGCAAATATCTTTTTGGATATGAGTTTTCAAGTCTTTGTGGTAAATAACTAGTCAACGGATTGCTGGAGAACATTTAGATCTTTGAATGTTGTAGTTTATTGTGTGGTCTGTCTTGCTTGTGGAGCAGTCTTGCAACCATGAAAGGAAGCCTGATCAAGAAAGGAGAAGAACCTATCCAGGCAATTGCCTAGCGGCTCACTAGAAAGGAGAAAGGGAAAAGAGCTTGGGCATTCTTAGCTACATGGCCTGTGATTTGATGTGTTATTCAGCTGTTTTTTGGGACAGCAAAGGGCTCTGGGAAAGAAAGGTAGGGTCATTAAAAGGTATAACCTGATTCTAGAAGTTATGACAAAATTAGCGTCTTCCTTTCCTAGAAAAGGGGTAATCACATCCAAATTGTATTAAATACTATTATAGTACTTTTCCTCTCTTCACTGAGCCAACATAGAGAATTCTTTTTCTATCACTAGGCTAAATGAGATGATGCAATTTGTTATTGTTTATTCTAGTGAGTGTTGAGTAAAGGACCTGGGTGAATACTAGTGAGCAGAAACCCAAAGAAGGGTCCACAGGTGCGTGTGTCCTTCCTCTCTAGGCATTGTTCAGAGACACATGCTTTGGCCAGGCTGCAGCTGGCTGAACTATGGATCTGAGTTCCACTGTTATCATTTAAAAAGAGGGGACAAGCACGATAGCTTCTTCGCATGGTATAAAAAGTTTTAGACTTGGGGCCAAGCAGTTTACATTTAGGTGTCAGTTGTTTAAAGGAGTGTTGGGAAATACCAGCTTCTCAGCACATGGAGACCTTGGGAGCTCTTTGGTCCCATAAAATTGTTAGGTAGAGTCCTCCTCCTAGGAAGCCTCCCTGCCCCGCTCCTGTTCCTTGCTAGCTTGTTGCCAGGCAGCCCAAAAACCATCACTGTGGTTATTCACTAGACACTCCACCTTGTTTCCACCAGTACCTCGTACCTAGTGCCTGTGTATTTGGATTTTGTTTCAACTCTATTATTTATTAACTCAGTATTTAGATAGTACTATACATGGAATCAGATCATCTCTGCTCCCCAAAAGGAAGGTTCATGGGGTTTCATTAATCGATATTGATTCTCTGGGTAGACACTGTTCACTTAATGTTTATCTTTTGTGTTGTTAAACATTCTCTTGACTGATGGCTCCAAACAGCTTCTGCCTTCCATTGAAGTGGGAGAGGTTTTAAATAGTTCTTTCTATATATTTTTGTTCCGTTTCTTTTATTTAGTTAAAATTTTGAATATAATAGTTTGATAATAAAACGATAATGTTGAGGCCTAGTTACAAAGTTTGAAACTAACTGTGGGGATTGACTAGTAACAAGAAATTCAGCTTGATTGACTCTGCTTACTGCTTAAAATTCTCTTCTTTTGCAAGCATAATTAGGAAAATAAACATTTAATAAAGAAAATTTTATATAGAATAAACTCTTAAAACTTAGCTTTGCTCTGAAAAATACCCGTTGGTTCTAAGTATGTAGGAAAATGAGAAGTGCGAAAGACTCCACTCACATATCTGACATGGTCTTAAGTGAGATGTGTGCACCCTCAGACTGCAATAGTCACATTTAGTTGAATGTATATTCAAGCACAACTTGGGGGAAAAAACTCCTAGGATTCTATAAATGATTTCACTTTCTGCTCTCTCTGGACTTATTTGTAGACCGTGGACGAGGCAAGGGGATTGGTTTCTTGGAACAGTAATCCAGAAGTCTTACCCTGTAACTCTCCAGACTGGTTTTGGGAAGGGGTTCTGCTACTATTTTCTTTCCCATCATTTTCTAAATTCATAGAATGGAGGGGAGCACAACCAGCAGAATTTTGTCCTGCCAGTTCCATTATTCTGCTCTTTATACATCCCTCCATCCTCCTTTACCTCCTTTACCTCCTTTACCTCAGAGAAAGGTTAGGAATCCCTTTGCACCTAAGTACAAATAACACTGACTTGAGTGGTCTAGCAGTACCGTGTAACCCTTTGAAACTGTTTCAGAAACTTTTGTGCTTCCTTTGTCTTCTCATTTCTTTAAAACATTTTTATTTAACAATTATTTGAATCTGAAAGTGTATGCAAGAAACCGGATGTTAGGAGAAAATGTTCAGATATTAGTGAGTGCATCTTGGGCACTGGGAAGGATTTACAGTAGGGTGGTATACAGATTTCAAAGCTCTTACCATCTAGTAAGGAAAATGAGAACAAGTTTACACAGATGGTGAGTAGACCATGCTAGGAACAACATATTGGCAATTAGAGGAAGTACAGAGCACAGGCTAAACCTTACACCTTTTTTGTAACTCATTTTTCCCACTGATTATAAGAGCAGTGCATATGTTTTATTGGAACACAGAATTATATAACAATGAAAACAAAATTTTGTGACCTGTGCTTATCATTAATAACATCTTGGTGTATTCTATTTTAGCATTTTTACCTGTGGCTATGTGGGATCATGTTCTATAAGTAATTTTGTATCTTGAATATTTAAACTTACTTAATCATGAACCTTTTTCTTTTTGCTTAAAATTGTTTGAAAAAACTAAATTTTTTCATATTTCATTATCTATCTATGCTATAATTTTTGTTGGACGTTTAGGTTCACAACTTTTTGATATTTTAGAAGAATTATGGTTAACATCTTGCTAAATAAATATTTGTTCTCATCTCTACTTCTGAAGAGGACAGTTTGGAAGTCGACTCATTGGAACAATGAGTATGACATTTTAAAGGCCCTTGGCAAATTATTTTTCAGACTGTTTACATTATTAGAGTCTCACTAGCAGTATATGAGAATGCTCTTCTTAACATACTCTCACCAGCATTATCACAAATAAAATATTTTTGCTCATATGCTAAGCAGAAAAAGATAACTGCTCTGACAAACCAGTTCCATGATTAATTATATATCTTCTTACTTAAAAAAAATTCAAAGTAATATATTCATATGTTTTGTTTTTTTTTTAAAGCACAGATTGCCTTATAATTTTCAGGCTTCTTCCCCAGGGGGCATTTTCTTTTAACTATTTTGGCTTTAGTTCTTCTAGTGGTTATCTTCATATCTCTAAATGTTCATTCTTCTACGCTTATTCCAGGTTTTGGTTTACCAATTTCAGATATCTATTTGCTTCTCACTGTGGTGGATGAAGATTTAGCTCATACCTTCTCTCCAGCCTCTACTCTCTTCTTCCCAGTTTATTTTTATAATTTTTCTCAGTTCCTCCATCGGTCATTTCTGCAACTTTGGATAGCATTCATAAAGGTCCATTTCTTGTTCCATCATCTCTTGATCTTTGTGTTCTAAGATGACCACAAAAGTGCTCCCACCCTCCTGCCCCCTTTCCCACCCAATATTGACATTCTGTGTAGTTTTGCCCAGTAGATGTACATTGGAGCCATGGAGATGGATAAGACAAGAACCTTGCCATTAAGGAGCTTTAAGATTCTTGGGGTTCAATATATTTATAGTTAGGTATATAGTTAGGACAGAAAATGTTGAGTATCAAAAAGGGGATATGAAAAAGTGGTATAGTAGCTTAGAGGAAGAAATGATTACTTCTGAAAGGAGAGACTTGAGATGGTTTGAGGAAAGATTTGTCATTTGAATTGAACATAAACTGTATGAAGGTAGATTTACTCTGGGAAAACTCTAAACAATTTTTACTCATCTAAAATGAATACTTAAAGCACAAGTTAATAAGACCCCCTCCTTTTTTTTTTATAGGTGAGAAGGCTTTAGCTGATGCACAGATCCCTTATTCGAAAGTGGAACAGGCATGTGTTGGCTATGTTTATGGTACGTGGTAAACTATTCTAAAAATTATTCACCTAAATCTAGCAGCAGCTACATAAACAATGCAGCAATGCAGGGACATTTGTGAATTTCAACTTTCAAAACTCAGAATTCAGAGTTTTACCCATCATTCCTAGATTTCCCTATGTGTCAGCCTAGTTTAACATGTATTTTTTGCCATTATTGTGTTGTCAAAACAGGAGATAAATTTAACAAATATTTTTTTACCTTAAAAAAAATTACTCACAGTTCTGCCATATAAAAGTAATTAATTACTGTTCAGAAGATAAATTTTTGTTTCTTGTCTTAAAATTTGCATTTATTTTTTGTATTTAATAAAATTTTTTCATGAAACGTTTTTCTGATTAAAAATGGTATATAATGATTGTAAAAAGAAAAAAAGGAAACAGAAAAGGACAAGTAAAAATAAGTCACCTTTCATTCCATTATCTAGAAATTTTTACTAGATTAACTTTTGGTATATATCCTTCAGTGAGTATAGTATGCATGCATGTGAATATACCTACACACAGTTTTCTCTTAAAGAAAGTAAGGTCCTCGCATACATACTTTTTGGTAACCTGCTTTTGTAATTTTACTATATTTAGTATTTCCCATGTCATTAAGTCTTTATACCATTAACATTTTGCAGTTAAATTTATTTTTCTGGATTAAGTATTTTTTCTAGGTTAAATATTATCATGGTAGCAAAGTACAAAAGGTGGATGGTTATGTAATGGAAAGTCTCACTGTTATTCCTGTCTCCCTGTCTCATGGTTCCCTTCCCTTAGACAACTAATTTCACTAATTTCTACTGTATCTTTCCAGAGGTAATTTATGTATATACAAACAAGTAGGTGTGAGTATGTAAGTTCCCCTTTCCACTTTTCATTCATTACACATGTGGGAGCATAATACATACACTTTTTTTTTGGCTTAGTAGTTCTTGGTAACTTTTCCAAATTGTATCATAAAGAGCTTCCTTGTTCTTTTTTTTTTTATAATAGCATAATGTTCCATAGAATAAATATAATTTATTTAATCTGCTTTCTTTTAATGGACATTTTGTTGCGGTGACGGTTTGGAAGAAGAGTCGAGTCTGGAAATGTTTAACTTGCATGGATAAGGGAGAGGAGGATTGGCAATGGTAGCATCCCCCACCCCTGTCTCCGTGGCTTTTTATTAAGTTTCCCTGCTGGCTTTGTAATTTATTAATAGTTACTCTCAGGTTAGTAAATACAAGCTACAGCCAACTCCCAGATTCAGCCTCAAAGCCACCACCGTGTTCTCAGCTATTTCTTTTCAAGTATCTTTTTCTTATCCTCTAAAGTATCCTTTTCTAGTCCCTAGAACAAGAAGTCTGGAATCAGGTCAGGCCTGTGTGCCCTCCCTGCAATGTGTCCTTGTGTGCAGGTCCACATCTACTTCTGATGTCCTTGTTGCTCCAAGCACCATACATTCTGCTAGGAACATTCTGTACCGCAGGCATCTCTTACAACAACATTTAGAATGTCCTCAGTCTTTTCATAGCATTTTTAATGATTTCATGATATTCTAGTCTTGAGGATTTACTGAAGTTTATTTAGTACTAATAATATCCTGTTGGTGGACATTTAAAATTATTTCTAATTTCTAGTTATTATGAAAGTCTCTAGTATTACTGTAGATGAATCTTTGTGCATCTCTGTGATTATTTCCTTGAGATTTCAAGATATCAAGAGAATCCATGAGGGGAAATTTACTAGTTCAAAGAGATGCAGTATAGTTATTGAAAAGTAGGTCCTGAACCTTGCTTTTTTTCCTGAAAATTCCTGGAGAGTCTGTACCTTCAGGTATTCCCATCGTAGTGCTCCAGTGTGTCTGTTTTGATGGCCATGTTACTTATGAAAGGGAGTCAGATGTGTATTCATCTTGGATCACTATTTTTCTCAAATGCTCTGGCACTCAGGATCTTTTAAATGTTTTGAAGTTGTGGAACCTTTATATGAAGAAAAAATCATGGCATTTTCATTAGTTGGTACAGTTTTAAAGATTTATATCTAATAGTGTAAATGAAATAACTGCTTCCTTTATCATGTAGCCCTAGCCATATTGAATTGTTTGCTATTACTTGGTTATTTCTCTACTTTCCTACCTCTGTATTGTGTAAAGAAAGTGTACATATATTCTGTGTTTTGAGAATTTTTTTATATTCGCAGAGGAAGTGAGGCTTAATGCTAAAACTGTTTCTGAGTAAGATGTTAATAGTGTATTTATTGTTCTGTCCATGTTGTATGCTAGGCAAAAGCATAATACTGAAAAACCATAATGTAGTATTATGTTGTATTGTGTATTGCAGCTCCATAATTCTCATGCTGCGTGTATTAAAATTTTAATTTCTTTTCCTATACAGGTGACTCCACCTGTGGGCAGAGAGCCATCTACCACAGTTTGGGACTGACCGGGATTCCTATAATCAACGTTAACAATAACTGTTCTACTGGTTCTACTGCTTTGTTTGTGGCCCAGCAGCTGATTCAGGGTGATGCGTAGTGCTTATTAGTCTAGTGTACTTAAATAGTGGGGTTAGTGCCCCTCATCTTCATTTATCCACACAATCATCAGAGGGATGGCTTTATAATGTATTTCTTTAAAAAAAAAATAACTTTATTGAGACGTGTTTTATATACCATAAAATTCACCCCTTTAAAGTGTACAAGTCAGCGTTTTTTAGTATATTCACAGATTTATGTAACCATCACAACTGTTTAATTTTGGAAATTTTTCATCATACCAAAAAGGAAGCTCTGTACCCATTAGCAGTCACTCCCCATTTCCCCCTTCCCCCAGCTCCTGGTAACCACTAATCTACTTTCTAGGTCTATGAATTTACCTATTCTGAACATTATATAAACAAATCATATAGTATATTGCCTTTTGTGGCTTTCACTTAGCATTATGTTTTCATAGTTCATCCATGTCGTGGCATATTATCAGTACTTCATTACTTTTTATGGCTAAATAAGGTTCCATTGTATGGATATACCACATTTGTTTATCCCTGTATCAGTTAATGGACATTGGGTTTTTTTTTTTTTTTGTTTAGCTGTTATGAATAATGTTACTAGAAACGTGTAATTTTTTTGTGGCTATGTACTTTCAGTTCTCTTGAGTATATATCATATTTTATATTTTCAAATAGTCTGGGGTCTTTTATCTTTTAATTAGACCCTCTATTCAGTTCCACTGCTCAGTGTTTTAATTGTTGGAGCTTAATGAAATCTTACTATTTCACAGTGCTAGTGTCCTCTGCCCCTGCCAGCTTGTTATTTTTCTTTCTATTTTTAAAGAAAAAATTTGTAACTTCTGTTTTGTTTTGCTGTTCAGTTGAACTTTAATGACATTTTTTAGGTACCGCCTCCCTCCAGAGATTTTGATTAGGATCCTTTTTATTTTATTAATTTCAAGTATACAGTACATTAGTTAGACATTTATATAGATTATAAAATGATCCACCTAATTGCTCTTTTTTTTCCTCTGATTTTCCATCTAGCCAATATATTAATGCTAACTGCATTCCCTATGCCATATTGCCCATCCCCATAACCATCTATCAACTACTAATTTGTACTTCTTTAACCCTTCACCCCATTCTCGCAGCCCCTCAATCCCCCTCCCCTCTGACTGCTCCCAGATTGTCTTCTATATTTGTGAGTCTGTTTTTGATTAGTTTGTTCTGTTTGTTCCTTGGATTCCACATATAAGTGAAAACATATGGTATTTATCTTTCTCTGACTTATTTCACTCAGCATAATAACCTCTAGGTCCATCCATGGATCAGGATCCTTTTTAAATTAAATTAGTTTATTTAATGTTTTAAAATGAAGAATTATTTATATATGTCCTTCACTGAAATATATTTTCCACATTAATTAAATGTTTTATTAATATTGAGGATCAAAGAATTAAATACTTGATTTTTCCTCTTTTTAGAAGCATATAGAAATTTTCTCTAATTTTTCACTAACTAAAAAATTTATAGGATTATACTTTTGTTTTTCCATTTTATATAAATTGGTATGCTTAATCAATTAATTAATTAATTTTTTAAGTTAATTAATTTGTTTTTATGGTGACACCGGTCAACAAATCCAATAAGTTTCAGCCGTACATTTTAACAGGAAGGCATATATATATTTACACCATGTGTTTACCTCCCATAGTTAGATTTCTTTCTGTCACCACATATTTGACCTCTTTAACCCCATCTACCTCCCCTCTCCCCCCTCACTCCTCCCCTCTGGTAACCACTAATCTGTTGTCCATGTCCATGAGTCTCTGTTTGTTTGTCTTGTTCATTTGTTGCTTTTAGGTTTATATCTCACCTATAAATGATACCATGTGATTTTCAACTTTTTGTCTCTGTGGCTTATTTTGCTTTGCAAAATTGATATGCTTATTTAAATTGAACTATTAATGGTATTTTGTTGAGTGTCCGGAAATTTAATATTCACGATAATTACATTTTCTTTCAAGGTGTGGCAGATTGTGTCTTGGCTCTTGGGTTTGAGGTGATGATGAAGGGATCTCTTGCAGTGCAGGTGAGTCTCATTTACTATTATTTTGGGGTTGTTATGACACTATGAGAAAACTTTGCCCATCAGACTTCCATAAATAACACCTGTTAATAAGCAACATAAAACATAATTTGACACAGTTATTAAATGAGCTGTTATAACCCAAAAGCTGAAAGGTGAGATCATTTATGTATGCATGGATTCTTGAGGTCCGGTTATTGAATTTGAGATTGACTTATCTATTTAATTTGAAAGTCATTTATTCATTCATTCAAACATTAATTCCATCTAACAACTTGAAAAGAATAACTTATGGGAATTTTTTTTCTGGTAATGGCAAACCAAGTTATTTGAACCAGTTCTCCTGCTGATGACAACCAGAACATTTGAATAGAATATAAAGAAAATATCCTAAAAGCATCAAAGAGCTAACAATAGAGAAGAATTGCAGGTGAATTCCAGAAAATTAAGATCAGCATTTGAAGGTGCTTTTGCGTTGAAGGGCTTTGCTGATCAGGAAGATGTTAGCTTTAATTTTGATTGCCCCCTATAATGAAGAGGAAAGTAGTCAAATCTCACATCCTCCCAAGATGAGAAGTTTAATATCCACTCCCTATATTAAACTGGGTTGCTGTTTAATAAATGGTGTTCTCTTTGGATAAGGGTGAACCCAAAGTAAAACTTCTGCCCTCACTTACATCCTATTTCCCCAACTTTCATGTGATTATGAGGAGAATTGCCTTGGTACTGAGAACAAGGGAGAAAAAAAGAGAAGGGAAAACAAACAAACAAACTAGAAGAACTTTTCACTGAGAATTAATAAACAACAGGCTATCCATCATGTGAGGTTGCTGCCAAAATTCTCTTTACCTGTGTGGTCAAAGAAACCTCAAACGATGAATTGAGTCTAAATTGGTACCAGAATGGTAGGAACCTAGGCACTTAACAGAAGCAAATGCAAATTTTCTTTTGGAGGAAAGCATCTTTCCTCTAGGCTTTGAGAACTCTTCAGATTTTGCAAGGACATGCAGTCAAAGAAAATGAAGCATTAAAGAGACAAGGTATCATAATTGAGAACCAGGAGAAAGAGGCACAGTAAAAAGTGATTTTTGAAGACTTTAGAAACTGGATTTATTGGACATAGATTTAAACATGCTTACTATGTTTAAAGAAATTAAAAGACAAGCTTGGAAATATCTTACGGGTATAGGAAACTGCAAAAAGAGGTATTACAGGCCTGAATAAAAAAACACTGATAGAATTTATAGAAAAGAAAAATAAAATAATTAAAAATTTGAAAGATAGGTTTGATAGCAGATATCAGACATGACTAAAAAGAGAATTAACAAAACTGGACTAGATTAAAAGTAATTATTTAGAGTATACTACAGAGAGAAAAAAGATGGAAAATTGGCAAGAAGTTAAGATATATGGAGGATAGTGTCCTAAGGTATAATAAATGTTTAATTGGAAATACTGGAGAAAAAATGGTGAAGGAAAATAGGGCCTAGATATTTTATTTATCTTTTGCAAAAAAACAGCTCCTAGTTTCATTAATCTTTTCTGTTTTTTTCAATCTTTATTTCATTTATTTCCATTCTGAGCTTTGCTAATTCCTTCCTTCTACTAACTTTAAGCTTTGTTCTTAATTTTCTAGTTCCTTGAGGTATAAAGTTAGGTTGTTTATTTGAGATCATTCTTATTTCTTAATGTAGGCACTTACTGCTGTGAACTTCCCTCTTACAATTGCTTTTGCTGTATTCCATTAGTTTTGGTAATGTTATGTTTCTATTTTCATTTGTCTTAAGATATTTTTTGATTTTTCTTTTAATTTTTTTGACCCAGTTGTTTAGTAGCATATTAATCTCCACATACAGTGTTTGTAAATTTTCCAGTTTTCTTTTATAATTGATTTCTAGTTTTATACCATTGTGGTTGGAAAACAACTGCTTTTGCTGTATTTCATTAGTTTTGGTAATGTTATGTTTCCATTTTCATTTGTCTTAAGATATTTTTTGATTTTTCTTTTAATTTTTTTGACCCAGTTGTTTAGTAGCATATTAATCTCCACATACAGTGTTTGTAAATTTTCCAGTTTTCTTTTATAATTGATTTCTAGTTTTATACCATTGTGGTTGGAAAAGTTGCTTGATAAGATTTCAGTCTTCTTAAATATATTAAGACTTGTTTTGTGGCCTAATACATAGTCTTTTCTAGAGAACGTTTCCTGTGCACTTGAGAAGAATGTATATTCTGTTGTTTTTGGATGGAATGTTCTGTGTATGTCTCTTAAGGTCATCTGATTTAACATGTTGTTTAAGACCGATGTTTGATTGCTTTTTATTTTCTGTCTGAATGACCTATCCATTAATGAAAGTGGGATATTAAAGTCCTCTACTATTGTATTGCTGTCTATTTCTCTCTTGTCCGTTAATTTTTGCTCTATATATTTAGGTGCTCCTGTGTTGGGTGCATAATATTTACAAGTGTTATATCCTCTTGTTGGAGTGACCCCTCTATCATTATATAATGACCTTCTTTGTCTTTTATTACAGTCTTTGTTTTAAAGTCTATTTGTCTGATATAACTATAGTTACCCCAGCTTTCTTTTGGTTTCCATTTACATGGAATATTTTTTTCCATCTCTTTACTTTCAGTTGGTGTGTGTCCTTATGTCTGAAGTGAATCTTTTATAGGCAGCATTTGGATGAGTATTGTTTTTTTGTCCATATAGCCACTTTGTATCTTTTGATTGGAGAATTTAGTCTATTTACATTTAAAGTAATTATTGATAGGTATGTACTTATTACGATTTTGTTAATTGTTTTCTGGCTGTTTTTGTAGGGCACAGACATAATTGAAGAGATAATGGCTACTAATTTTCTTTCCTTTTCTTTTCTTTTCTTTTTTTAATGTCTACAGCATTTGGTATTCCTAGGTGGTCTCCCATCCAAGTACTAACCAGGCCCGACCCTGCTTAGCTTCCGAGATCAGATGAGATCAGGCATGTTCAGGGTGGCATGGCGTAGACTGACTACTAATTTTCTTAAACTGGCAAAGGACATTAATCTACAGGTTGAAAAATCCCAGTGAATCTAAAGTAGGATAAATAAGAAGAAACCAATACATAGACTTGTCACAGTGAAACTGCAAAACAAAGCAGAACAAAAACAATACAAAAATAGAATAGTGAGGTGAATATTAGTATCTTCTTTGTATAAAGAATAGTACTAGAACAGAAGGTTATAGATATTTGTTTTATATATCTATTTTGAGTTTCATGTCAGCTTTAGAATAATTTTGCATTCTGTTTGTAAAACAATTTAAAATTTTAAAGCAATTTGAAGTAACTTTTAAGTAATTTTTTGACAATGTAAAGACTAAGGGTTTTTGAATTTGATTATCAACATGATTTTAAAGAGTTGTGTTTCAGTTTAACCCTATTCATCTTTAAAATATTTCTTATTTTAGTAATAATCATTTGATCATGGTTCCTACTTTTTACTTTCATTCTTCCAGGTGACAGATAGGTAATTTCTAATATATATTATTCCTCCTTCCCACCCTTACCCCCCCCCTAGGGGGAGTGCTTCTTAAATTATATATTTGATTTCTGTTTAAATGAATATCTAGGAATTGATCTCTCTGGTAAATTCAGATTTTTTCTATAGCAGGCACTAAATATAAAATATAATCATTGCTAGAAAATGAGTTGAAGATAACTTTTAGCTTATTTATCTAAGATTATACTATATCTAACTCCTGAGATCAATTTGATTCAATTTTATCAGTTCAAACATTAAAGAACATTTTCCCCAAATTAAGTTAAATACATGCAATAATATCTCTTAGTAATCGTAAGAGTGTCTGGCATATAATAGGTATTCAAATAAACAAGAGCTATTTTCTTTTTCTCTTAGAGAACATTTCAAGAAAGTGGTAGAAATTAGGTTAGGTGTTAAAGATAATTAAGAGATAATAATTATATAAAGTTATCATATAATGAATAAAGATAATTAAAATAAGAATAATTATAGGGAAAATGAGATTTTTCTAGGTATGGGAGAAAACATCATGAACCAAGTAACAGATGTAACAGATGTTGGAGTGAAAAAATTAGTGGACATTAGTCCTGTCCAAAATGTATGTGGTGTCATTTGGTCCACACCAAAAGGTTCTTAAAATTTAGTCCTCTTCAGAATGTCCAATTTGGTCAACAGCGTTGTACTCAACATTCTTGTACATATATCTTTACTTATTCAAGCTATTATTTCTGTTGGATAGATACCTAGAGCAGATGAAGAATTTAGACAATATTTTAGCTAGAGGTGTCCCTGAAGATATTTTATAGATAAAGTGAATCCATGAAACCCCGAGTGAATTATCCATTGACCCAGTAAGTAGTTAGTGATATAACCAAAACTAGATCTTTTAATCCAAATACAAACTTTTTGCTATACTTGAAGAACCTATTATTTTCTCCCTTCTCTTTCATGAGTTTCTTCTCTCCCTGTTTTTTTATGCTTTGTCTTTTCTTCCTTTTTATCTCTCTCTGACATGACTTCTTTTGGGGGGCATTTATTCACCCTCCCCTACTCCTATCTGCATCTGCATTTCTCTTTTTTTTGTTGTTCTTTTTCTTCTCTTCTTTCCTTATTCATTTCTTAACTTATACAATTTGTAACTGAATTTGTTAAATAAGATTTTAGATTTCTGATTCTAAATTTAAAAATCAGGCGATTGAACAATCTACTTGAATATTACCAAATAACTTGCTGTTTCTGGTTATGGCCCCTAGATGGGTCTCTATAGCAGAGTCCTTAACTTCCCACTTGCTTTGCTGTTAAGCTTTGGTTCTGATTAGTCTTGTGTATTTATTTCCCTTTAGATCATATGTCTTTTCTTTTTTTATGGGTATGCTGCAAACAAAAGTAATAAATCTTTCTTATATAAAGAAGAAATTATTGCTTTGAACTAAGAAGAATACTTGTTCCACTGGGAATGCTCTTCACAACAAACAAATA